CTGATGCGGGAACAAATGGCCTGAGCTGATTCGCATGGACACGCATAGTACGATGAGGTTGCTGCAGTTCCAAAATGTCATAAGTAACAGGACCAATCTTCTTTAGAACTCGAAAAGGCCCCTTCCATCGGCTATCTAAGGCTCTGGTACTACCTTCTACCTTACGTAAAACTAAGGATCCTTCATTTAGGTGCAGAGGTTTCGCCTTCCTATCGTAATATCTCTTATTGGCTTCGCGAGTTTCTAGAGTTGTCTTTATCGCTATACGGCGAGCATCAGCAAGACACTTTACCATCTGCCCCTCATCAATAGTCTGCAAATTTGTCAGGCCGCGAGGAAAAAGTGCCATTCTCCCGGTCAGCAGGTACAGAGGCTGATCACTGGTGGACCGATGGATGGCCGAGTTAAGGGCAAAGCGTACGGCGGGCAGGTGAATAGGCCACTGTGAAGGTGACTGTTGTACCAGGGCGGCAAGAGCATCCTTTACTACTCTGTTGCTCCTTTCAACTACACCATTTGACTGCGGATGGTATGCAACAGAAAAGGAGTGTCTCACCTCTAACTCCTTCAATAGTGAACGCCACTCATCAGACGAAAACTCTAATCCATTATCTGTGTGGAGTTGGGCTGGAGGACCAAACAAGGTAATAAAATGGTCAACAAAGGCTTTTAAAACCCTGCTTGCGGATTTATCCCTAAGGGGTACCAACTGGAGATAGCGTGTATGATGGTCAATAATGGATAAAACGTATCGAAACCCTTGTGCAGATCGGCGAAGGTCCATTAAATCTGCGGAGACCATTTCTAAGGGAGCCTTAGAAGGTGGATGTCCTTGCATAGGTGCTCTAACCACGGGAGCCTTGCGACGCTGGCAAGTTTCACAGCTCGCAACATATGTTCGTGCCAAGTGAAGCATGTTTGGGAAGAACCAGTTATTACACAAGTTCTGATATGTGCGTAAAGCTCCTGGATGGGCTGCCGTTGGAGGTTGATGAGCCAGGTGTAATGCCTGGTTACATAATTGGTGTGGAACGTAAATCTGTTTAACCACTCGATCCGGAAAATGACGAAGGTGATATAGTACTCCATCGTATAATTCGAAGTCGCTTATAGCTGCTGGCAGACGAATTTTAGGCAATGACTGACGTCTTTCAAGCCAGGCTATCAGATCTGTACAGACGGGATCCTGTAGCTGCTGTTCTCTCATCTGCTGAGGCCAAGGTTGTGAGGTTGGGCATCTGATGTGGTTGCGGTTCTTGCATCTGCTGATCCTGCACTGAAGGGGGTACTTCCAGCAGTGGGGTATCAGGATTGGGCTCAGGGTCAGCAACAGAGTTTCCTACAGGGCAAGCATAATCAGGAGATCGGATGGGCTCTCCTGGTGGTCTAGACAGCAGGTCAGGGTAATTACTGGCCCCTTGCTTATAATGTAGAGTGAATTATAGTCAGATAGCTCATGAGCAACCTACTTAGCCTCGTACTCTTGGTCTTTCTTGAAAAAACGTATGTCAGTGGACTATGGTCGGTCCAGACAGTGAAGCATCTACCATATATGTACGGGTCGAAGATTCTAATAGCTTCCACGACTGCAAGGGCTTCCAAATCAATGATAGGATAACGAGTTTCTGTTTCCTTTAATACCCTTGACCAATATGCAACCGCATGTGGCGTCCCATCTGCTTCCCTCTGGAGTAGAACAGCACCAAGAGCCTGACCGCTAGCATCAGTGTGAACTTCAAATGGTCGATCAAAATCTGGAAGGCGCAGGACAGGTGCTCTAACCAAGGCCTCCTTCAAAGTGTCAAAGGCCTGTTGAGCTGCATCTCCCACTCGAATTTCACATTCTTCTTTGTGAGTTGGGTCAGCGGTTTAGCAATAGTGGCAAATCGTGGAATATGCCGCCTGAAAAATCCACATGCACCAAGAAACCTACGGATGTCACGCTGATCTGGGTCGTTTCATGGCAGCAATTGCTAGTACCTTGTCAGGGTTCGGTCGGATACCGTCTCTCCCAACAATGAAACCAAGTAGTTTGACTTCCTGTCGAGCAAATTCACACTTGTGGAGGTTAAGTTTCATGCCTGCATTTTCAAGAAGTCCTAACGTCTCTTTGAGATGATTCAGGTGAGCTTCAAAAGACGTAGATGCAACCACAACATCGTCTAAGTAAGCAAGAGTGTGTCGCCCAAGAACAGAAGAGAGAACAATATCCATAGTTCTCTGGAATGTCGTTGGTGCTGTTGACAGCCCAAATGGTAGACGTCGGAACTGATACAGGCGATTCCCATCTGTAAAAGCCGTCTTTGGGCGGTCCTCGGGGTGAACAGAAATGGCCCAGTATGCAGCTCTGCTATCGAGAACGGTAAACCACGTCTTCCCAGATAGAGAGTCCATGAGCTCATCTATCCTAGGAAGTGGATAACTGTCTGGAGTGGTTACCTTGTTAAGACCTCGATAGTCCACACAAAAGCGTACAGAACCATCTTTCTTTTTGACGAGGACGACTGGTGATGACCATGGGCTCGTAGAAGGTTCTATATCACCTTGCTGTAACATTTGTTTTACACTCCTGCTTAATGATTTCCTTTGTGCTCTGCGGCAGTCTCCACTGGCGTACACAGACTGGAACATTGGCATCAGTGTGAATGCGATGTTCAATGCCAGGGACAGTTCCTACAGTGTGTTTGTTCCCTGTGTAGAGTCTGGGAAAACTCCTCAAGATATCTGTCAGTTGAGACTTCTGTTCGCATGTTAGGTGATTAAGGCTTAGTTGTTCCTCTAACAGATTGGAGCCATCGGTGTTAGGCGATGGTGTGGCACTGGCGACATCCAGCTGGGGTTCATTGCAGATTTGGCATGATTCATCAATGGCAGGTGTCTCAGGAAACACAAAAAACTCATCAGGCTCGTAGCCAAAGTCAAGGCACGCATCAAAACTCTCAAACCCATCTTCAATGAATCCATGCTGTTCAATTGACTCATTCAATGCACCCAGTGCACTGCCTCGATAACCAGAATCAGGAGTTACAGCTTCAGCAGTACTTATTTCCAAGGAGCCAAGGTCTTCACAAGACACATCTTCGGGTGGTGAGTCACGTAACTTTGGAGCCTTACCATCAATGGTTTCCTTGAGAGTACCCCCTGAGGGTATCTGAAGAAACTGGGAAGTGGTTTGGAGATCACTAGTTTCTACGAGTTCGGCATAACCCACAATAGTACCAGGACTTAGTTTCCGGGGTTTCGGTTCTGTATTTACCACCCAAATGCTTGACCTCCTTTCTTGAACGGTAATAAGGGTGCGTGGAACGAGCAAACGGGCGCATTTCCTTCAATGACAGCAACATGAGTTTCATCAGGAACACTACGTGAAAGGGAAGCAGCTACAAATCTACCAGCCCTAGGTTCGATTGTTGTTGCTTCAGTCACATGCACAGGCGAGACGTAGCGAGGTTGCAAGGGAATGGAAGACTCCGGAAGCTCTCCCCTGGACTCATGACATGCAGGAACCTCACAACAGTGCGAAGACTCTTCACCCACAAACGTGACTACATGACGGTGACCATCCAACTCCAAGTAACTGTCACTAGAATTCGGCGAAATAAATATAACCACAGGCAATCTCCTAAGCAAATCCATCCCAACGAGCATATCCCCAGGAAAATGAATGCCAGAGGTGATACAGGTCCTGTGCACAAGGTCTAAACCAGGGTGGATGGTAAACTTCAGATCAGCTTCGGCTCAACAGATTTAGGCATCCCGGCAACTCCTTTAAGTGTCCGAGAACTGCGCAACATGCGGATGCCAGGTAGGAGTTTGGCTGCTTCTTCCTTCAGTACCGTCACCTCCGAGCCAGTGTCTATGAAACAGGTTATCTTCCTATCGTTGACTGGCAAGATGACCTGTGGTCGTCCCCTCAATGTCAGCATAGCTTTCTTGGTTGGTGACCTCCCTTGGACTGGAACTGCCGCCTGAGGGTTGGGAGTTTTGACCTGGACGGCTGGTACGAAAGGGACAGGAAGCTAAGAAGTGACCAGGCTCCCCGCATCCATAACACAAGCGCTTGTTGGCACGGCATTCTGACGTATTATGCCCCTCTAGACGATGATATTCAC